TTCCGATCATTTTGGGTGTGACCATTGTTAACTTTGTTTCATATGCTAACATATCATCTTTACGTGGAGCATTCATTGCATCTTTGGACAGTATCTCTATAACAAAGTGTTGGCAGGTTGCTAAAGAGGATCTCAAGTGGAAAGTAACTATGCATGAAAAGCTTAGGGCTTTCGATAAAAAATCGAACATTGGAGATAATGCCACTACTAGTGGGATAAAAGGCGGTTGGGTGCAAGTCAAGCTCTAGAATGGATGGTGGAACAGTGCAAAACACGATTGGTGGAGAAAGTTTACAATCATACATATGGCATTGACTTTGATGAAATTTTTGCGTCAGTAGCAAAGATGAGCATAGTGAGGACAATGCTTTCTCTGGCAATGAATGGTGAGTGGAAGTTAACACCAACTTAATGTAAAAAATGCATTTTTTTCATGGTGAGTTATTGGAGATACCATCGGGATTTGACACAGTCTAGATAGCGGGCAAGGTGTGTAGGGTTAGAAAGTTACTATATGACCTGTACAGTCTCCTTGAGCCTGGTTTAATAAGTTTAGAAAGACTATGGTGAGCATGAGATATCAACAGATCAATGCAGACTATACTGTGTTCTTTTGGCAACATGAAGGTCACACTACTATACTTGTTATGTATGTTGATGACATCATTGTCACCGGTGATGATAAGACAGAAATTGTCCAACTAAATGTAAGATTGAGCAATGAATTTGATGTGAAGGATTTTGGACAACTCAGATATTTTCTTGAGATTGAAGTGCCCATGTACCTGAGGAGATGGTCTTGTTCTAGAGAAAATATGTAGTAGATATTATGACAAAAACAAACATGCTGGAGTGCAAACCTTTAGTCTCTCCAATTGATCAGAAGACCAAACTGAATGCAGAGGCAGGATAACCAGTTGATTGTGAGAGATACCAAAGATTGGTGAGCCGTTTGATCTATCTGTGTCACACTCGACCCGACATCTCTTTTGCAGCTAGCGTGATGAACTGTTACATGCATGAGGGCCATATGGATATAGTGTAGTAGATTTTGAGGTACCTGAAGAGTGCACTAGGGTAAGGGTTGATCTTCAGGAAGAATGGACATATAAGCATTGATGGTTTTTATGAAGCTGACTGGGCAAGTTGTGCACATGATAGAAGATCCACCTCTGGATATTGCATGTTCGTAGGGGGGCAACTTGGTCTCTTGGAAGAGCATGAAATAGTCTGTAGTAGCAAGATCAACAACAAAGGCAGAGTACAGGGCCATGGCCTTAGGAGTTACTTAGACGATGTGGTTGAGACCCTTGTTGGTCGAGCTCAAGGTGGACCAAGGAACTTAAATGAAGTTGTGGTGTGTAAACAAGTCAACAATTCACATTGCCAACAACCCAGTGCAACACGATAGAACCAAACACGTGGAGATTGATTGATTTTTCATCAAGGAAAAGTTGAATAATGAGTTATTGGAGCTAAGTCATGTAGCCACTGGAGAACAAGTGGTTGAGTGCTTAACTAAAGGATTCAGTTCATTAGATTTGTCTAGGTTATGTGACAAGATGGGCTTGTTGGATATCTTTTGCCCATCTTTGCCCATCTTGAGGGAGAGTCTTGAGGGATAGTGTTGAAATTGGATCTTATTTAGGGTTCTATTGGTAAAAAGAGAATATTGAAGAAGTCCTAAGGTTTATTTGTAGAACATTGTAATACCTTATTTAAACCTATGTTATGAATGTACAAATGAGGTTTTGAGCAATTCTTTCTTGAGAGCTTCAACAAGAGATGGAGCGTTTTCGACTATAATATATAATTAAGGCTATATATATATTTCTAATTTTCTAAATCATGTTCGATACTTGTCTGTTTTCTCAAAATCATGTTAAACTCACATTCGATGTGGTGTTGAGATGTGTACAAGACGTGTTTGGGCCTGAAGAAAATTCAGACATATATTTTCTAGTGTCAGAGAAATGCCGGGGCGTGTCGGACAAGTGTCGTTGTTCGATACATGTCTGACACGGGTGCAACATAATTTTAGAAGTGTCGGTGCTACATAGATTTCAATCGATATAAATAGAGTCTATTGACTAAATTGACACTTTTGTAAATTCTGGGATTAAAATCGTCCTTTCCGAAGAGTGAGGTACTATTTTGACACTTTTCTCACCCTTGTTACATAGATACAAGTATTAAACGTTGTGTAAAGAGGACATGATAGGATGTGTGTGGTTGGTAGAAGGCTTGGGTGGAGAGGTATTAAAGTGTATGACATTCGAAGTTCCACCAGCACTTCAACTAGCTAGAGTGATTCTTCTAACTTCTCACAACTTATTATTCTTTACTTTTACGTTAAACTTTCTCTAATTTCAGCATCACTTAACAGCTATGATGGAAATCCTGGATTGATTCTGCCAAGAAGACAAAAAAATAAGCTAGCATTTGTACTTGCTACAAGTATCGGAGCATTTTCTATCATAATACTTATATTATTAATTGGATGTTTTTGGCTACTATGGACTCGTCAAAGAAAGCCAGAGAAGAGTGATAATCAAGGAAAAAGTATCTGTTCTTCAGCTTTAGTTGATTATTGACTAATATTTCATAAGCCTTACATTGGGGCAGTATATCGAGCATCTTTCCTTTGTGGCAGGTAACTCTTTACGCACAATGTCCAAGGCTTCCATTCATACTATGGTTGGAAGTACATCTTTGGTAATTGATGAAGGCCTGGATGTGGCTTATTGCATAACCCTTTCTGAAATAGAAGAAGCTACGGGAGGGTTCTCTAAAAAGATTGGTGAAGGTAGTTATGGACCAGTATATTATGGGAAAATGAAGGATGGAAAAGAAATCGCTGTCAAAGTTTCAGCAGATTTGTCTAGTCATGGAGTTCAACAATTTATCAATGAGGTGTTTTTGCTTTGGGTTTTGCTCTTTTTTAATAACCTCTTTCCTATAGACTGGTCATTCAGAGCAAATTTTCATGGTTATCTTTAGCATGTTATGCTTTATTTAATTTATCTCTTGACAGCAATTTCACTTGTTTTTTTAGAGCAAAATGTTGTAAAATTTGTTTTTACTTATCAATAGAATTTAAATTTTTTTCAACTTTTTTCTTTATCTGCAAGTCTTTTGTCACACCCACCAGGCATGCTTGTTTATTTGTAAAGAGTTCCTATATCTTTGCCATTAGGTTTGTGACATGCTAGTCATATTTCAAGCAAAATAGTTTCTTCTCTCAAGTTTGTCACGATATTTCTGCAGCATTTTACGCGCTATAATTCAATAATTCTACAAATCTTTCATTCAATCAACCCATTTCTTTGTTATACATAAAGAACCGTTTTTTCTTTTCAATTCTAAATTCTAACCCACTGATGGCTAATTTCCATTGAATGTCTTATAATCGTAGGTCACTCTACTTTCTAGAATTCATCATAAAAGCTTAGTTCCTTTCATTGGATACTGTCAAGAAGAATGTAATAAAATCCTTGTATATGAGTATGTACACAATGGAACCTTGCGAGATCACATTCATGGTAATGCCTCCTAGTTGATGTCATCTTACCATATGCAATTTTTCTTTATCAAATAAAGTGCCAAAACATTCCTGACTTATTACATGGAGTCATTTTAGTCTCGAGTTTACAAAATTGCTAAATTAATCCCTGCACTGTTTTAATGGGGCTAAAATAGTGTTCAACGGGGACTACTTCAACCCATATTAAAAAATTTTGGGGACTAAATTGACATTTCCTTATACTTTGGACTAAAGTGGTCCCCTGCAAAGAGTTAAGGGACCATTTTGATGCCTTTCTCTTTCTTTATCTTATCTGTATTATTTAAATGACTTAGATTTCTATTCTTTGTTAATGCTTCCCAGATTCCGATAAGAAGAGAACTCTTAATTGGCTATCTCGTCTCTTAATTGCTGAAGATGCAGCTAAAGGTTTGGAATGCAATCTTCAATGCTTTTGCCCTTCTTGTCTTTTGTTTTCTTTTATTTGTCATTCATGGGTGCTTTATTTTTTTACTTACTCTATTTCTTATTAAAGGTCTTACTTATTTGCACAATGGATGTAATCCACCTGTCATTCATCGTGATGTTAAAACAAGCAATATCTTGTTAGATAGCAACATGAGAGCAAAGGTTTCGGATTTTGGCCTCTCAAAACAAGCTGATAACAGTCTTACCCACATATCGAGTATTGCTCGAGGAACCGTGGGCTATGTTGATCCCGAGTAAGCTACTTGTTGCTTTTTTATTAGGAAGATCTTAATTTGGATAATTATAAATTTATTATGTTAATCCTTCATTAACAGGTACTATGCTATTCAACAATTGACTGATAAGAGTGACGTCTATAGTTTTGGAGTCGTACTCCTTGAGTTAATTTCGGGAAAGAAGCCTATTTCTGTGGAAGACTATGGTGTTGACTGGAACATTGTTCATTGGGTATTAAAACATCATTAGTATTCAATATATCCCCAGGCCTTCTTTTGAAATCCTTTTTTGTTCTTACTTGTGGCATATTTTTATTTCATGAAATTTGTCATAGTTTTGTGATTGGTTATCATCTTAACTTCAACATTAAACTGTTTTCAAAAGAATGATATTATCAAATAGGAAATAATTTTGTGTTCTATCGAGGGCGTCGAAAAATAATTTGAAGTGAAAACGTTGCGCCATAAAATAAAACTCGAAGGAAAAAAGAGAATAAATGATAAATAGAATAAAAATGTGTTAAACTTGTGACATAAATTGTGTGGGTCCCACTTGTCTGATAAGGAAACTATGAATACATGGATTGAAACATTAGAAAAAGCTCTGAGTGCACAAATTGAAAACTTCTACTGTTTTATCAATCTCATAGTAACCTTTAAAATATAATCCCATGCTCTTGCTTTATTGGCTCACTTTTATATATTTTCTTTAAAGGGTTTTTCTAAAACTATAAACACCCCCTTTTTGTTTTGTACAAGTGAACTCACTTTTCTCTTGTTTTGATTTTACTTTAGTTGAAAATCTCAACTTGTAATTTCAACTTTGACATAGTGAATTATACTCATCTGCTTGTAGTTTTTCCCATCTTGGGTTTTTCATGTAAAATATGTATGTTTTTTCTTTTGCTTTTTTCATTATTTTTTGTTTTGATTATATATTAATTTATAGTAAGTGATATCAAAGCTAAATTTTGATCTCGATGATGACAACAATAAAATACAATATCCTTCTTTTAGACTGCAACACCAAATTTTTACACCGACAAGTTAAAATGTGAGTTTCTTAGCTCAGATGGGTTTAGATGATGAACTATTTGGGTTCGAAAAGATGCCCTTAGCATGGAAGCTGGAGGAGAAGATGAGGAACTATTGTTTATCTTTCGCAAATTCATCTTCATATATCAAAGCAGATTTTACATCATATTTTAAATGAGAAGATCATTGTTGCATTATGACTCAAGTTAGAGCAATTTTGTATGAAAAAAAAAACTGACTAGTAAGTTGTATTTGAAGATGCTTTTGCATTCTCGCAGGATGATAGAAGGTGCATTTTTATAAATCACTTAACCGTCTTTTAAAGAAATCTCCTCTGATTTAGAAGTGATGAAATTTAGGTATGACAAAGAAGGTTTGACATTAATTATGTTGTACTTGTTACCTTCTTCATATTCAACGTTTAGAGGTACCATCTTGTATGAGTGAGAGACACTTACTATAGACGAAGTTTGTGATGTTCTATTTTTTAAGAAGATGAAAAAACTTATGGATGAACTTGTCGCTTTAGGAGAAGTCTTCGTCATTTGAGGTACAACTTAAGAAAGAAGTTCTGATACTGATACAAAGAGTAAATCAAAATAAAAAATAAGGATAATTTATGCAATTAATGAAAAAAAAGCGGCACATCAAAATTGAATGTTACAAGCCATAGAGTAAAAATAATTAGATTCTAACAAGGAAGACAAACAATCAGGTCATTTTGGTGAAACTAGTGTTGTTGTTGAAACTGTTAGTGTTGGTGAACTTCTAGTGGTCTCTGCCGGTGAATCTTGTGATGATTAGGTTGTTTCATGTGTTCTAAGAGGGACTAGTTTTTAATATATGAAACGATGTTGAAGGATACCGTGTTAATGGACAATAACGCTTCCCGTAAGATAACCAATGTTAAAACTATTAGAATCAAGATATTTGATGGAGTTATCAAAACACTTGGGAGTTGTGAGAGGTTTTGTATAAATTAATTCAAGAGATCTGAAGCAAAGCATTGAGTAGAAGCGTACAAAATAAAAAAACACTAATAACATCAAGATTTAACATGGAAAAGCCCGTGAACAGGAAAAAATCACAGAGCCACACCACATTAAGAAATACACTATGAAAAATGAGGAGATTGTACAAATTATAATACACTTAAGCCTCTCTGCACCATTTGGAATTCAAAAACACTCTTCTTCCTTATAATAGAACAACCAAAATCTAACGCAACACACAAAATCCTTAGTGAAGCCAAAACTTACAGCCTCAAACTGCTTAATTCTGTTACTAGCCCCAGGGGACCACAATAGGGTGCAACAACGCTCCACCAGGCACAGGGGCGTGACTCCAGGCGCTGCATTGTCAAATGCTCGGGTTCTTGGACCTGTGGCAAGCGCAACTGCGCTCCTCCTGGCTGCAACATTGTCGAGCGCTCTGTTCTAGGGCATGTATCAGGCGTGGTGGCCCTCCTCCTGGGCGTCGAGGCGCAAGGTACAACAAAAAAATATTTAGGGCAGTGCCCTGGAACCCAAACAGAGGTTCACCCCCTATACCCCTAGCAATTTCATCGTCAAGCTCGATCAGTGAAATTCAGAACTTTGACTGAACAATTGATCACTACAATCAGACTCCACATCATAACAGAGATGTCAGACATGTATCAGATCTGAAAATGAATTTAATTTTCTTAAGTACGCTTGATATTAAAGGGTGTAAGTACTTTAGTGAAGATGAAGTTTTAAAGGCCGACAAAGGCTCTCTTGTTATGATGAAAGGATAAAAGAAGGCTATTGGATTATATGCCTTGCAAGGCTTTACAGTGGTGGGAGATACAACGCTTATTATTTTTTTATGTCAATGATGAAGCATCCAAAAACTCATGTGCCTTTGATATATGAGTGACAATGGGATGATTGAATTGAGAAAAAAGTTGACTTTTAAATGATCAAAGTATTACAAAATTGAAGTTTTGTGAATACTATATTTGGAAAATAGAAATGTGTTAAGCTCAATACCGACATTCACAATACTGAGAGAATATTAAAGTACACATATTCTGTTCTTTGGAGACCATTTGCAATACCATCTTAAAGTGGTGCCAAATATATATTGACGTTCATTAACGATTTCTCTAGAAAAGTTTGAGTTTTCTTCTTAAAGAATAAGAGCGATGTTTTTATCATTTTTAAGGAGTGTAAAATTATGACCGAGAAGCAGACTGGAAAGCATATCAAACGTCTTTTTACTGATAATGTGTTGGAGTTCTGTTCAGAAGAAATTAATGTCCTTTATAAATGAGAAGGAATTGAGAGATTTCACAATCCAACACACTACAACAAAATTGTATGGCGTAGCGAATGAATAGGACTATAATGAAGAAGGTTCTTTTCATACTCTCAAATGTTGGGCTACCTAACTTATTTGGGCTGAAGTTGCTTCTGCAAATTGTTATTTGATGAAATGCTCTCCTTTCATTGCTATAGAAATGAAAACTCCAAAGGATATTTTGTCAGGTAAATTTGGAAATTACTCTAATCTAAGAGTTTTTTGATGCACTGTATATGCTCATATTAATAATAGTAAATTAGGGTTTAGATTTATGAAATGTGTATTTCTTAGTTATAAAATTGGAGTTAAATGTTATAAGTTATAGTGTCCAGAAAACAAGAAAATAATCATTAGTAGAGATGTTGCATTTAATGAGTTTATATGTTACAACATCTACTTCAAAATCTATTTATGATGATCAAAAGGAGATGTCTGGTAGACAAATATAATATCTGATTGATATGAGTATATTCTCGAGCATGATTTCTGTCATGACCTAATCCGAGACTTGTAATTAACCAAAATGAGAATTGACGGTCAGTCGGTGGAAATAAATTCTCTGTTATTCTATTTATATCACTAATAGTTTAATATTCAAATATTTATTAGTGTCACTAATAAATACATTTAAATTAACAAATAAAAGTTTTACCTTTTCTACTGTTATTTTCGTCTTTTGTACACATTTGATCCTCTTTTATTCTTCTTTCTTAAAAACATAGATTCTAAAAAGAATATTTGAACAACATAATGAATTATCTCATGAGTATTTCAGACTTCTAAACTACGGTAATCCAAAGAAAATAAATCAATATGACATTTGGTTTTTCATCTCTATAAGAAATCTTAGAATATACTAATCTTTCATATTTCTATAAGAAATTTTTGAATATACTAATGTATGTATCAATGATATTTTTTAAATGAAAATATTCTAAACTTCTATATGCATTAAATTTAATTTTTTTTTTATACTCTTAACATACACATTTGTCTGCATAGGCATTGCCGTAAAAAAAAACCTAACACACTTCTCACTGATGTTATCCCATTGGTACAACGATTAATGATAAAAATATCACAATTGTCTGAGGTAGAAAGGTCCTTACTCGCCCCTAGCTAAAATTCTCCTGTCGGCATAACAATTAACAATCTAAACATCACAATTTTCTGGGAAGGTAAGCTCTGTCTACTCGACCTTGATCGATATTCTGTCATTGGCACAACATTAGTGATCTAAATATCACAATTATCTTGGGCGTTAGGAATATGTCTACGCATGCGGGTACATTGATTTCCCTTGCTTGTACAATTAGGGAGCAAACCTCTTAACATGGACATACAAACATTCATATAAAAACTATTTCATTCTTTCATTTCATGTGGTATTTTCTTGTGAAACTCTTTACCCCTATCTACTATTGAATAAATGCAATCTTACTATATCTACAAGTCATGAAATAAATCAATATATGCACATGTACTAAAAATTTAAACGTTAAGCAATGTTGTGATATTTATATTATCATATATATATAATCATGTGATAAGCTAACATGTATATATTCCTCTACTAGAGTCATACAATTATCTGATATCTTTTTAAATTAAACGGTTATACAACTATACTGAATACGTATACTTATTCTAATGTGCAATTATTTATCACGCATATATTACAAATCTAATAATATGAAGAATTTATTGTTGAACTACGACATACAATCAAACATATATTTTGAAATAAAAATAATTACTGAAATTTAGAATTGTAATTACACACCTTGATCTTTAAAAGATCTTTTATATGTCTATTACTTCACTTAATTGCCTCGTTGATTCCTTACAAGTTATTATTGTTATTCAATTAAAATCAAAAGTAAATTCAAAGTATCCATTAATGTAAACATTTAATTACTTATAACCAGTTATAAATTCATAAAAATACCTCTAATAAATTCTTTCTTCTTTTTGAAAACTTTAACAATCCATAATTACTTTTTATTTTTGAATCAAAAGTTTCACAATCTAAGATTGTTCATTTTAAGATTGTTCACTCAGTGTTAATATTAATTTTATAAAATTTTAACTAAAATCTAACATATAAATAAAAACATAAATAACTAAAGGTATCCAGTTGACTCAAGTAAATGAATGATCTCCATGTAAGAGGATATTGAATCTCTTTATAAAAGTTTGACTTGAGATTTTGTAATGTTGCCTTAAGTCAAAAAAAGTTGCTGCAAATGTGTGTTTAAGAAAAATGTACATGAGGAGTTGAAGATGCCAAATGTGAAGCGATTCTTGATTCAAGCAAATTCCAAGTATAAAATTTAAAATTGTATTCTCTCTAGTGGTTAAACATATTTCAATTCGAGTTTTACTTGGTTTTATGGCTAAGCATAATCTTGAACTTGAGCAGTTAAATACATGAAGAGCTTGAGGAAGATATCTATATAAAGCAACTTGAAGGCTCCATGTTTACAAGGAAAAAAAAGCCATGTTTGTTTGTTGAAGAAATCTAATGTTTGAAACAATCTTCTAGGCAGTGTTATAAAAAATTTAACCATTCATGATTGCTCGCGAGTTTAAGAGGAGCAGCTATGATAATTGGGTTGACTTCACGAAGAATAATAATGAATAATTTATCTATTTTCTCTTATGTGTTGATGGTATGCTAATAGTTGTTAAGAATAAAGAAGACATTATGATGTTAAAAAGTCAACTTAGAGTGAGTTTGAGATGAAAAAATTTTGTTGCCACAAAGAAAATACTTAGACATGATGATTCAAAGAGATGGAAAAACAAGTTATTGCCGAGTCAAAAAGGGTACATTGAGAAAGTCTTGCAAAAGTTTAATAAGTTTTGCAAAAGTTCAATATGTATACTGCTAAACTTTTTAGTATTCCATTAGCTACAAATTTTAAACTCTCATCAACTTCGTGTTCACAATCAGATGATGAGATTGACTATATGTCTCGAGTTTCATACTCGAGTCTAGTGGTATCTCTCATATATGCTATGATTTCTTTTCGTCTAGATGTGTCATATACAATCAATGCAGTCAACAAATACATGGGTAATTTGGGTAAGGAGCATTTAAAAGTAGTTCAGTGGATCATCAGGTATCTATGTGGAACTAAAAATGCTTGTTTGCAGTTCAGTAGAATTACAAATAGAGTTATAGCTATATTGATTCATTATTTATTGGAGACCTTGATAGAATGATCACTTGGATATGTGTTTTTTATTAGTGGTTATGTGATAGTTGGAAAGTCATTATATAGACAACAGTGACACTATTTACAATTGAAGCTGAGTATATGATAATTATTGAAGTCTGCAAAGATGCTCTTTGGTTGAAAAGTCTATTTGAAGAGCTTAGTGAATATTTGAGGATCATCACACTAATGTATGATAGCCAGAGTACTATTTGCCTCTGCAAAGATCAAATATTTTATGAGAAAACTATGTACATTGATGTTACGACTTCATTCATGAAAATATTGCTCGTGGTGATATTATTGTAACCAAGATTAATACGCATGATAATTGTACGGATATGATGACTGAGACACTCAATAGGCAAGTTTGAGCATTGCTTCAACTTGATTGATATTCATTCATAATAGTTAGAGTTTTGTGGAAGAGGTGAAGAAAATTATGTCGAAGATTAAATATTTATTCTATATTTTTTGGAATTCATGTTGCGACAAAGATTGCTAAATTTGAGACCTGAATTGTGTGGGCCCCGATTTTTTGATAAGAAAACTGTGAGCATACGGATTAAAGCTTTAGAAAAAAACTCTGAGCACATCAACGCATGGATTGAAGGCTTCTACCCTTTGATCAATCTCATAGTAGACTTTAGATTACAATCCGTGTGCAATTGCTTTATCGGCTATCTCTTGCTAAAATAATAAATAGTTTTTTTTTTATTTCATACAAATTAATTCACTTTTCTCCTATTTCGATTATATTAGTTGAAGTCCTCTACTTGTAATTTTATCTTTGATATAGTGAATTCTCCTCCTCTGCCTTTGGTTTTTCGCATCTCGAATTTTTCACATAAAATCTATTTGTTCTTTATTTTACTTATTTCATTGTTTCTTGAATCCATTTGATACTAATTCATAACAAAAGGTTTATGTGGTTTAGCTTCTACAAAGTCTATGTTCATGAGAGAGTAGATAGACTTTGATCCCACTATTAAACACATTAATCACAAAAAATGTTATACACAATAAAAGGATACTCACAAACCCTTCTTAGATCCTAAGTACACATACACTAAGAATATTTCATAAAAATACATAAAAGAGCCACTAAAGAAAGCGATAAAAATTAACAAGTAGAATTTGTACTTTTTCATTTGTTCTCTTCTTCTATACACATTTACTCCTCTTCTATTCATTTTATTCAAATATTTAAAACCCAAAAATAATATTAAAACAACATAATGAGTATTCTAAAGATAACTCAGAAATAATCGTACTTATAAACTACAATAATTCAAGAAAAAAAATATCTCATATTAACGTGAAATAGGGTTTCGTGCTCACCGAATTCATTGGAGCCCAGAAACCTAGCTGATTGTTGCTTCAAAATGTATGTTTGATTTCATGGATATTCTAGTTTAGTTAGATCCTTTATATTGCTTAGACATGATAGATATGCATAAAAAATATGTATGAGATGCATGATATATATGATATACATGATGTGCATGATAGATGTGATAATAAAGATACACTTGATAAGCACAATATAAAATGAGATGCATGAGATAGAACATGAATGATATGAGAGATGCATGATGGTAGTTGCACAACAGAGTAAGAGCAAGTATGTATGTTAGTACATGCATAATTATGTCTCAAAATAATATATGCTATGAATAATAAAATAAATTATAGATGAATGTTTGTTTGTGTATGTTCAGAGGAGAATTGCACCTCCTAATGGTACAGACAAAATACCTCTGTGTACAGGCGCGTAGATTTTTTCTATCACCCTAGACAATTTTTATGCTTAGATCACTAATCGCGGTGCCGACAATATAATATTGATCAGAGGTTAGTAGACCAGAGCATACCTCCCCAAACAATTGTAATGTTTACATTACTAACCATTGTGCCGACGGAATAATATCGGTCAGGAGCATGTAAGGGTCTTTCCATTCTAGACAGTTATGTTGTGTAGATCGTTAATTGTTGTGCTGACGGGAGTTGAAAGGACAATATTGACCAAGAGTGTGTTAGGTTTTTTTTACTACGATCCTTACAAAGATAAATGTATATGTAAAGAGTATACAATAAAAGTAAAGTTAAAGTAAATGCTTATAGAAGCTTGAGTATTTGCGTTTAATAAGGGTCATTGATGCATGCATTAGCATATATCAAGTTGCTTAAAAAATATGAAAGACAACATATTTGAAAATTTCTTATAGACTCACATGTATATTGAATTTTTTTATTGGATTACTGCAGTTTAGAAGTGCGAATACGCCTAAGTTATCTTTAGATAACTCATTATTTTGCTTTAATATTATTTTTACGTTTTAAACATTTGAACAAGATGAATAGAAGATGAGCAAATATATATAAAAAACGAGAATAATAAACGAAAATGTACAAATTTCTACTTATTAATTTTTAATGCATTCTTTACTGGCTCTTATGTATTTTTTGAATATTAAATTATTAGTATTATAAATAAAATAGCATAGAGAGTTATATTTTTTACCGTCCGATTGTCTGTTCCTGTCTTGGTTAATTCCTAGCCCAACAAGATTTCTAGATTTTTATTGAAGAAATTTTTATTTATATAAACTTCCTGGATTGAATTCTGCTAAAGGTTTTATATAAAATGGAATTTACACCTTCCATTGCACTTGTTTGTAACGAATGGAGTAGGATTTATGAAGCCACCTCCAATGGTTGAGCAAGGCTAATGATGATGTTAATCATGTTCTTTTCTTCTGATTTGAATTAGTGTGACATTGTCCCGTAGGATCTTCCTTTTCCTGTTCTTCATGATTTTTTTCCAAATAATTTCTAATTCATAGTTAAAGTATTATAGTCCACATTGTTAAACATGTTAAACTCATAATTTCAACAAATTTGTAGAGGAAATGATAGAAAATAACGAACGAGAGCAGCTTCTGGTTAAATATTTAGCTACAAATAATGATTAATGACCAGCTTTTCTTTCCTTTATGATTTTGTTAATCTAAGCTGCTGCTTGCTTCCCTGATAAAAACTCAACTGGATATCTTTCCTGACGATGAAATATACTAAGCAACAAAACTGTTTTAACCTTTTCCTTTCCTGAGTTTTGACCAATTTCAGTGGTGATTTCCCTAGTATAATAATATATTTTCTGCAGATCAAAATCACGAAAAATTGGCTTAACCGTAAAATTTATTTTGCAGGCTAGGTCTTTAATCAGTGAGGGTGATATAACGAGCCTTGTAGATCCCTGCCTTGTGGGAACCTTCAAAATAGAATCTCTATGGAGGATAGCTGAGATTGCAATTCTCAGCGTTCAAATCCATGGGGTTTCGCGGCCTAAAATGCAGGAAGTGGAACTTGCCATCCATGATGCTATCAATATTGAGATGGGAAGCAAGGACAAAATTGATCATTTCTCTTCCTCTTCGACAAACCCCTCTGATCTTGTAAGATTTTCATCCGTGCCCTTTGATTTTATAAGCTCTAACTTCCAAAACAATATCAATTTCCCATCATTAAGATAGACTACGGCTGATCAAATGTTAGACATAAAAGAAGTTGTGAGAAAGGGAGCTCTCTCATTTTTAAGTTAATTCCTAGATTCTTTTAATGAGCTGAAATAGTCCCTAATGAGTAATATTTTAGCCCCCGTTAAAATAGCCTGCGGACTAATTTAACTCTTTTATAGTCTGGGACTAAAATGACTCCTTGGAAATATCTATGAGACTATTTTGGCACTTTACTCCTTTGTAAATATTTCTTGATGTGAAGATGTCTGTTTTGAAGTTGCAATAAAGTTGCAGTTTTCTTATTCTTGTAATTAAATGACATGTCATGACTGATTCAACATAAATCTGAAGGCAAAGGATTAAGCTTCTTAATGCAAGAAATTAAATTTGCATTGAGGAAAGATCTATGAATGATCTGGTCTGGTATAACCCAGTACAAACTGCCATGTGGAATGAAACAATATCTATACATTATTATAAAAGTTAGTAATATACATAAACATACACATAAGACATTCACCCAAATTAAACTATAATCTCCCCTCCCCCACCAATCAAATCTCATACACCATGCACCAATCTTCTCTTTCTAAATATTCCGTAATAAAACCAACCTCACAGAAGCCCATGTCATCTTCTTCATCCTCATCTTCCTTGAAATCTTCCTCATCTTCCTTTCCATCACTACATCCTCCCACATCAAAATCAGCACACTCAAGAAATTGATCACCTTGTTCTTCAACCTCATCTTCATGATCATCTTCTTCGTTCCAATAACAGCCAGACAACTGACCCAACAGATCACTGGCCGATGCACCAGAAAACTTTGGCCACCGCCTGTCATCGACCACTCTCCATGAAACAAGCTTGTGGTTCAGCTTCACGTTGCAGGACTTCAGTTTGTGCGCACCTTTTGCCTTGTCTCTAGATTTAGACATGGGGAGAGAGTGGCACTCGGCACACCGAGGCCTCTGGCACTTGACGGTTTGCTTGGAGCGGTTGCTAGGCCTTGACGGAGCCTTCATGTAGAAGCTGCCAGTGTCGGAGTTGGCTGAGCGGTCGGCGAGGTTGAGGGAGGGTTTCCTCACCATGAGAACACCATGCTGCCATCCTTCTCTCTTCATGATTTCTCAACTTTGTTTCTTTGAACATGGAGAGTTGTTGAAGAGGAGTTTTAAAGGTTTACCGTTCTTGGACGGTTGAACAAAAGCATAAGCAAAGTGGGTGCTTGTGCAACAAGTCTTCTCCACCACACCTTTTGGAAATATTCAATTGGGTGGAATATTTCTGACAAGTAATTGAATATTTTATGGATGGAATCTTCTTGATCATATGTTGATAATTATTTCTTTCAGGCCTTTGATTTTTTGAGGTTGCTGTTACGTTTTGGCTCCACACCACTTGGCATTGCCCTGGTTTATTTTTATACCTCAAAATCTGGGCTCTTATTTTCTGACCCTTCGTTATATTACTCGAACCATCATTTTTTTCCCCAAGAGTTGGCATGCGTATTTATCATAAAAAGATGAGTATAATATACAATTAAATAATATTTTTTTATTCTCTCTCTCTCTAAATCCTGACATACTGAGATGTTTTTTTTGCAGTTCTTCTTAGCATTTCTCTTGTTTTTTTAAGGCATTTGGATACATAGCACCCAATTTTTATGTATTTACATATCTACCTACCCAAGAGTTGGCATGCGTATTTATCATAAAAAGATTGAGTATAATATACAATTAAATAAGATTTTTTAAATTCTCTCTCTCTAAATCCTGACATGCTGAGATTTTTTTTTTTTTTTGCAGTTCTTCTTAGCATTTCTCTTGATTTTTTTCAAGGCATTTGGATACATACCACCCAATTTTTATGTATTCACATATCTACCTGAATTTTTATGTATTTACATATCTACCTAAACTTCAATTTTTACATTTATACCTCCCTAATCTTTCATATCACATCAAAAGTGCAACTCTTTTAACTTAAAAAAGGGAAATATATCTTCTCATGCGCAGGTAGGGTGGTGTGTGTGAAATATATCTTCTCATGCGCAGGTAGGGTGGTGTGCGTGTGTCTGTGCGTGTGTGTGAATTGAGTAGTATTTTTGTACATCTTCCTTATTTTTTTTATTTTGCAAATTGAACTTTGGGTTCTCCAAAAAAAAAAAGATGGATTAAAAGTAATTAGGTTGTTTGTGAGCAGTGAAATTGCATGAAAAGACCAGTTTTGGTGGGGAAGAGCTTAGTAAAAAGGAGGAGCCGTTCATTTCAAGTAATAATAGATCCACGAGGCTTGGTTTTCTGAAGGATATTGAGCTTCTGGCTAGTTTTGATATTTTATGCTTTGAATATTTAAAGGTGCAAAAAGAAAAATTTATTTTGGATTGGATTTGCTTAGAGTTTATCCAAAATTCCAATGGAAGACGCAACGCTGGGGATGGGCCATATATAAATAATATGCCTAACGCGTGCAGGGCTGGTGCTGGATAAATATTATTGTTATAATCCTCATTATCTTTATCATTAGCACTAATTGTAATTACTTTAGGCTAATTTTACGAATTTTTATCATCCCGCCATTCTGTTAAATCTATTTTTCATGATTTATTTGCCCTTCTATGGCTGTCTAATTTTCTATATTTGTCTTAATATTGTATCTTTTCATAACTTGTGCATGTTAAATCATATAATTATTGATATGAGATAAACATAATTTGTCATTTGGCATGAATTTCGAGGTAATTGACACAAATCTCAGAGCATTTCTTAACGAGAGACATTCAATCTTTAATTAAAGATCATCCAGAACATCGATTCCAACAAACTTATAGTCAAATTGATCTGCTCGATGAGATGGACTCAATTACACAAAAATTGGTTCAATCCGAATCACATCAAACATGGATTAAACTGTTCGACCACATTAGAAGTTTTTTGTGTCTAATTGAAAAGTCAAATAGATTCAAAATCTGACAAGTTTACAGACAAATCAAACGTCTTGACGAGATGAATCCAATGCGCCTAATATCTCTCAATTCCGACATCGTTAACCCACTTAAATGTTCATTGAATGTTATCTGATAGAGAGAATCTCTCCAGGTCGTTTTGATGGGGTGGTCCAAATTTTTTTCTTATTTGTAGAGATGCTTCTCCCAGGCTTTATAACTATAACCCTATCCCCTTCATGAAGGGGGAGGAAGAGCTAGACTCGGAGCATGATCGAGAAGATGCAGATGAATTCCAATTTGAATATTAACTGAAGAACCAATGAACGCTTCTTGCTCCTGCAGTCGCGACTACCACTCATTGGCCACAGTTGATCGCCGACCACTATCAACTGCCCTTGCTTATCGCAATGAAGCCCCTTAGTCAGGGCGTACATGAAGCGCCGCATAGAGTCACGACCAGTGTCGCAGAGTAGTAAAACACTTTATAGAGCAGTGCATTCTAAATAAGATGTAACAATGCATCTTGAATAAGGCAATCAACGAGCGCCGTATATGGTGTAACAATGCACTCTGAATATTGCGCATTGATGTGCCACGAATACGATGTAACAATGCACCCTGGTACAGTGTGTTAGTGCGTCTTGAATATGATGCAAAATTATCTCGCATTTAGGGCAATAATGCATCCCATAGACGGTCTAATGTTACCATGTAGATGGTGTAATAACACACCTTGTATACTCTCATGTAGCTTCCAACTCTGATCTCTGTGCCCTACAGACATTATCACTACGTTCCAGTTTTTGTTGCCTGTGGATATTATTGCAACTCACAATTACGGTCTATATGACCAATTACGGCCTACATGGCTCACAACTCATACAACTCTCAATTCCTTTTTTTGTGATCTACAAACACAATTGCAGCCCAACATTATGACCTATGTGACCACTTAAAGACCTAAGTTGCTCACAGCTCATGTAACACCTAACTTCGGTTTTCGTGATCTATAGATGTGATCACAACTCCCTAGTACGACCATTGTGGACAACCGACGTTCCTGAAGCTACCATCAACAACCGCATGACCAACTCTTACCATGAATTTCCACTGCTCCTTTACGCCAAGCTGGCACTATAGCCACCGCATACAATATTTAAGGCGGGCTAGCCTTCATAACAACCGACTCCGACCCTTAAAACTTGTTATCGCCGAGAACTACATTTATTACAACCAAATTACGTCTATTATTGAACTATTGTTGTACATCGAAGATTATCAACTTTGTGACTCTATATTCCCTTATTCAAGAGAAGTGTTTGCCTATGTACTTACAATTATATAACAAATTATTTCAATTGGGCTAGACATCATGGTTTTTTCTCTTTTTCAGAGTTTTCCACTTGAAAAGTCAATGTGTATCCTCATGCTTCTCTTTTTATTTGTGTATGTGTTTGATCTTCGTTCAACGCTAAGACTTTAAATTATTACTCTAACGTCGTGAATCTTCCGGCACACATCAATTATATTCACTAACTTTTTCTATTAGATATTACTTTTTCACCTTTAAATCTGTAATACAACTTTATAATTTCTCAATCTGTAAGTTATTATCTATAATCTCATTGAGAAGTAGGGTTGATAATTATGTCAAAATTTTACATAGTAATAACTCTAATTTAATCTTCAAATAAATAAAATTAATTTGCTCCAGCTCAAACATGCCCAAAATAAATTTAATTGAAAATATTTTTAAAGATAAATATAATTGATTTATATCAACTTGAAAGTCGAATTAAAAACGATTTCTTCTGGCAAAAGTCAAATTTAGCTCTATTCGAACTTCAATTTTGCGTTGAGATTGATTTACTTCAAATCTACTTGATATCAAATCCCCTTTAGATTACTGCTTCGGTTTGTTGATCTGCTATGCCTAACCAACGTTCCCAGTAAGCCCACAAAACTTCATTCCAACTGAGGACACTTCTGCTACTCGTAGGGGTGTAAACGAGCCGAACACGAGCGAGTCTAGGCTATGTTGTTATAAAGCCATAGCGTGAAAAATAAATTTTTGAAAATTGTTGCGGGTATCAGAGTTTTTTTTTATTTTTTTATTTTTTTATTTTGAAGAAGTCACATAGTAATTTTGTTTAGAGCTATCATACTTTAACAGATATAGTTCTCAATGATAGATACCTACTACATAAATTTTTGAACCAGAATAAAAAAAGTAATAACCAACATATATATGACAATGGTTTGAAAAGCAAACTAGAGAGAAAACTGTCCTAAGAAGTCCTTCATTTCATGTTGTGTATTACATGGTGTTTTTTGTTGCATAAATTTCCGGCTTCTATGATATCAGTACTGTTATTTTGTTTTGATGCTAGGATTTCTAGGTTTAGCTCGTGTTCGGCTCGTTTATATTTCGAGCTTAAAAAGTGTGTTCGTGTTCGGCTCGTTTGCTTAGCTAGTCGAACACGAGCCTTTCACGAACAAAGAGTCGTTTTGAAAACCCTAATGGCGTAACCATAAGATGTTATTGATTGGTT